CACTAGTTTTATGTGTGTGATTCACTTACAATTGTGGCGCGAGTTGCGGTAATCGTTTGGTCTTCTTTCTTCTGAAGATCCTCTGTCCCTTTTTCAAAGTGCACTCAGGCTGATTCAATTACTTTAGAACCATGCTTTGACGGGATAAATTACCTTTCTTATCTCTGTTTCTACTGTTAGTCTTGCTCTAAAATATTAAACGCTAGGCCTATCACTTCTACGGTAGTTAACTTCACGCCGAACCTTTCTTTTTGTAACTTTACTTTCTTTTGCTTTTATCTGTCTGCTGCTTTAGCTCTTCTCACACTATTTATATCTCTATCACTTAATCGTCTGTCCGCCTTCTATATTCTGGACGTCAATGTATTGCACATGACGTTCAATAGTCTCAACATCAAAACTTCCTACAATGTTTGATTTTAACTCTTATTATAACAAAAACTAAACAATAATAAAATATTCACTCACAAAAATAAATTCATCAATAATGTCTAAACTAAACAGTCTTTTATATCATGACATATTGTTGTAATTTTCCTGACCAAATGCTTGATACATTAAATTGAAAGTATTTTAACCATAAGTTGATATAGTTATATCTGCTTGATTTACATTTTATAATAAGTCATTACTACTACAAATGTTAAACACGGAAGGTGCACCGCAGAATCGTGCGAAATTTCAAAATTTCTTCATAGATATCGATTTAAAATTTCCTCAGATTTTTGCATATTTTTCTACGGATTTGGACTGCCTCTAGTCATAAGATTATGCAAAATATATTAAAGCATATGAGCATAAAGGTGTGTCATCACATGCGTGTATCTTTCTGTACGTTTATACGTCACAACAGAGAGGATGGTAGCCTCCAGATTCTACCATTATATAAAGAAAAATATTAATGTTTAATTACGGAATTTTGTTAAATTATTTTAGATTTATTGAACGTTTTTAGTTGCTGTTTTGTTGACCCCGGACTTCCTCTTAAAGTTTATTTGTTTTGTTTTTTGCTTTTTTTATGATTCAACTTCTCGCACAACTTGAACAATGAGTAATCAGATAATATATCATTGTAATTAATAGGGGGCGCCTATCACATCATAGTAGTCGATACGATACGTATCTAGATACAGAAGTTTTACCAACAGTTTGTTGCAAAGTTTGACAGTCTTTTCTGTAATTTATTATCTATATCACTAACATTGTGTTATTTAAGTACTTCACACTTTACATGGCTTTTTATTTCAAATTCTCAGGTTTGATCAACTAAATGTCAGCTGACAAGAGAAGTAAAATAAAAAAAGTTAATATCTGTATATACTTTGTCATTGTTAATTTGCATGTAATGTTTTAATAAAATAAATGAAGACATTTAGTACTCGATACTAATTTATTGAATGATTAATTTTTATCAAAAATACTTGATTAGAAATTCTAATATTTTCCGTACAAAAGACAATGTTTACTGAAAGCTTGCCAAATTTCGTGAAGATACAGAAATCGTATCGTATCGATACAATCGTATTACACTTCACGATACAATACTCGTATCGTATCGCTGTATCGACACATTTATTAAATGCAAATGGCGAAATATGCAATTTGCTAATATCGGGTGAAATGACGGATAAGCCAAGAACTACCACCTTAAAGGTTGACTGTACAATTGTCCAATCTTTCTAAATGTATTGATTGCATTTTTGAAAAATTACCTCTTTGTATATACACGCCAAAACTTTAAAATATTATTTTAATTAGAAACGTCTGATCTGCTATGCATTGAGTGAAACGCGTTGTCGTCAATGAATATTACTGGAGTTGTGTGGTTGAAATATTATTATACACTCTTGTTCTTCTTCTTGAAAAAGTCCTAAGTGAGTGAATGAGGATATAGTGTTAAAAATATAATAGACTTAATGTTTATGTCTTATCACAACTATAATAATTGTTGTTGTAACAAATGGCTTGTATAAATACTGTGTTTGTTGTATCATTAATGGCCTGATGAGCTATGTGTTGATCGAAACGCGTTGTTGGCAATGGATGTGACGAACATGGTGTGGTTGAAATACTATTACATACTCTTATTCTTCTTGCAAATGCCTTAAGGGATTAAATAAGGAATATAGTGTTCAAATAATAGGCCCACTTGTAATGTATTGTGACAACTATAAAGAATTCCACAATATTGTTGAACACCCAGACTGTTGCATCTGGCTTGCTTTGTTTCTATCCGCCTTGAAACCAACTTGAACTGGATCGTCTTCGATTTATACAATACTCATACAAAGTAGCTGAATGCTTATAAACGTTACCATAGAAACAAATTGTCAGTCTCCCAAACTAATAGTGCTAGTCATACGTAATGGAAAATCCCCACACCGATGAAAGATATTAAATTGTAGAAATAGCAAATAGAGGTAACACAGAGATCATCGCTGCCGTAAAGCAAGTTCTACTGTTAATTTCAAATTTTAGAGATTTGTTACAAATAGTTTTTGGAGACTCGAAGTGTGGCTCGTACTTTTTTATGGTTATATATATATATTACATTTAATTGTGGGCTGTTATTCTCGTAAATATATTAAGTCTCCAATAGGCATTTCATAATACTTTCCAGAAAGAAGAAATATATAATGGCTGATATTCAAATTCAGAGTCCAAATGTATCCTACACTGACGATCTGATCGAAGCCAATTATATGTATCAAACGACAAATGTAAGGAATGAGAACGGTGTTTATAAGGTAAGTCTAAAACCTATGAACATCTATTATTTTGTATACTTAAAAATAAGTATTGTAAATTCTGTATTTTGTATTACACGCAACAGCAGCGTACATTAAAATTAAGTTAAATAGTGAAAATCTAAAAAAAAAAAATATTAATTGCTTTTCTGCGCCAAAACGTTATTGTAAGTAATGAACATAAAACTTTACTTAAGTAAACATAAATATAGATAATCGAACTTGTATTGTTATTGATACCGGACTTGTGGACGTACAACTTCTAGTTCAGTCCAGGATTTCTAAAAGAACACTGATTGTGTTCCTAAATATTAGAATATATTTTATGTGTCTTCTAAAAACTTAATAATTACTTATTTTACTAATTCATGGCAACCTTTGAAACTTATCCTTTATTTGAACTTGATTTCAGGTTTATCCTCATACAACAAATTTCACCTTTCGTACCAAGAGACGAATGCCGAAGTTAGGTGTGATGTTAGTGGGGTGGGGAGGTAATAACGGAACCACTGTCACAGCTTCTACTATAGCCAACAAGTTGGGTATTACTTGGATGACAAAGGATGGTCTTAAGAAATCCAACTACTTTGGGTCACTGACCCAAGCTTCTACCGTCTACCTTGGGTCATCTCTGGAAGGAGACATCTATATTCCAATGAAGGATTTGTTACCAATGGTCCACCCGAACGACATTGTGTTTGATGGCTGGGATATATCTGCTCTCAACATGGCTGATGCCATGGAGCGTGCTTGTGTGTTGGACTATGATTTACAGAGGCAGCTGAGGCCTTACATGGAGAACCTTCGACCCCGACCTTCCATTTACGACAAAGACTTTATCGCATCCAACCAGGAGTCCAGGGCTAACAATGTTATCTGTGGAAGTAAGAAGGAGCAAGTTGAACAAATCAGGAAAGACATCCGGGATTTCAAGAACAAAGAAGGAGTGGATGAGGTTATTGTACTGTGGACTGCCAACACTGAAAGGTTCTGCGATATCGTTCCTGGGTTAAATGAGAGTGGTGATAGTCTTTTGAAATCTATCAAGAAGAATAACTCTGAGATCTCGCCATCTACTTTGTTTGCTGTGGCCAGTATCTTAGAAGGAGTGAGTTTTTTATATAGCATTTGTAGTATAAAAATAGTATGTGTAGTTTTTATTAAGTAACATTCTGTATTTTCAAACTATTGAACAGCAAGATTATGTGTAAAACTATTATTCTGAGGGCGACTGATTTTATTACTTTCACAGTTTGTAAGTTGTTGAGTGATGTATTTAGCTTGTGAAGGTTGATCATATAAATAGATAATATTCAGATACTTCTGCATTTATTTAAAAAAGTTTTGAATGTGAATAACGACTTATTTTGGCAACGTAACCAGCCATTCACCTGCAGTGTAAATTTGGAAATGCAGCATAGGTCCCCATTACATCTTGATAGATTAACATAAACGAAGTTTCCGTAATGTTTCAATAACTGATATGATTATCGAAGATACAGAATGAGTAATCTTTAGATAAGCCAGATTTTGTTATTCTTCAGACCGAAATCTCCTATTTCTGTTTAATCAGTGCTCATACCTGAACGGATCGCCTCAGAACACTTTTGTTCCTGGTTGTATTGACCTGGCAGAAAAACACGGAGTTTTCATTGGAGGAGATGACTTCAAATCTGGACAGACTAAGCTCAAGTCTGTGTTGGTGGACTTTTTGGTGAATGCCGGGATCAAGCCAGCTTCTATCGTTAGCTACAATCATCTTGGAAACAATGACGGAAAAAATCTCTCTGCTCCAAAGCAGTTCCGATCCAAGGAAATCTCCAAGAGTAGCGTTGTGGATGACATTGTCGCAACCAATAGGGTTCTCTATGAACCTGGCGATAAACCTGACCATTGTGTAAATTTGTATACTTCAAATTGCAATTTATTTGTTTTATTTTTTGTAATTAACATGTAAAATACCATAATGTCGTGAATCAATAATCATCAAGTAATTCAGAACTTTGACTTTTATTAGTAAAGTTATGATTATGTAGTAGCCTACGTTGTTTTGTGTAATTTTAGTATACTTCTGTAGTCGTTTTTTAGAAGCTCGTGCTATATAATGTTTTAAAGTTAAATATATGCTTAGTTATTTATTCGAAAAGATCATTTTATACCTTAAAATAGTTTTAAATATCAACTGATTTAAGTCTTTATTAATATGAAATTTTACTTGAAGCATTGCAAAATGAATTTGCCTTAGAACCCTCCATGAGGGTAAAAAACAACGTTATTTTATTAAAATGGAAACTTGCTCTATTTCCTCAGGTTGTGATAAAGTATGTGCCATATGTCGGTGATAGTAAACGTGCCATGGACGAATATACATCAGAGATCATGATGGGAGGTCACAACACCATCGTAGTTCACAATACTTGTGAAGACTCCTTGCTGGCTAGTCCAATCATTCTTGACCTGGTTATCTTGACAGAGTTGTGCCAGAGAATCACCTTCCGTGTGGGAAACTCCCCCCATTTCCAGTCTTTCAACAATGTTTTATCCATCTTAAGTTACCTTTGCAAGGCACCTCTGGTTCCTCGAGACGCCCCCATTGTAAACGCCCTGTTTAAACAGCGGTCATGTATTGAAAACATCCTACGAGCTTGTTTAGGTTTAGCTCCCCAGAACCACATGGGCTTAGAAAACAAACTGAGTGATCCTGTTGATTGGAAGAGTTCCCAGAATGAACCATTATACGATAAGCTAAAGACTTTAGGAAGAAATAATGGCTTTAGCACAATTAAGGAATTAAATTATTTGAATTAACAGCGTTAAATGTATTTATGAAAATTCGTTTTTTTTCCCTAATATTTTGCGTAACTACGTGTGGAATTTGTTTCTAAATAATTTAGAGAAGCTTTGTAAATATTGATAAGTATTAGACTAATATGCCATCTGGTACTAGCTATCGTGTTGGAAATGTATAACAATACACAGGTTGTGTATTTATTATTTATTTGTTGTTTTTCAAGTAAGAAAAATGAAATGTGATTCTAACTAACTAGATTGCACCTTTAGTTATTTAATGCACGTCTTGTTACACATATTGGTTTGTTTGTTTTTAAAGCAAAGCCAAATTGGGCTATCTGCTGTGTCCATCATGGGGAAGCGAACCACAACATTTAGAGTTGTAAGTTCGTAAACTTACCACTCTTCCACCGGTGGACACATAGAGTGGTAAATTACGTTTTTGTTGTCTCTGCACCATTCATACAAAGATGTTTTTCGTAAATTTCATCGGAATTATTTTTTCTTTGGACAAAAAATTCTGAAAATTTGTTCTCTGCTTTTGTCATGAAAAATACACTTTTTTTCTGAACAGTAAATTATATAATCCTTTATTTCACTCATTTCGACAATTTTTGCACTGCATTTCTTGTTCGGTACTTGATTACCTGTTGTTACATAAAGGTGCATAACTAAATATAGTAAAACTTACTAATGCTGAATGTTATGAATGGTTTTCAAAATATAGATAATGTAAAAATAAGTAGATTTAATAAATAAAATATCTTGTCTCGTTAGTGTGTTTGTTTATTTAAGAAATTATAATAAAACGAGAAGAGATAATTTTTTTTTGTTTGTTTCTGATATTCATGTACACCTACGCAATAACTATTTGTTTGTAGTTAAACACAAAGCTACACAATGGGCTCTCTATGCTCTGCCCACCACGGGTGTTGAAACCCGGTTTTTAGCATTGTAAGTCCGCAGACATACTTCGCTTTGCCACTGTGGGGCAGAACTATCTGACCTAAACTTCCCTAATTGAAGTGACAAGTTATAGAAAAGGCAACTAATGAAATATGCTCGCTGCGATATCTTAGCTACTCTGGTCGAATAGTAGGATTCGACCGCTCTCTTATAATGCAACCACGGTTGTTGTTGTTGCGATAACTGGATGCAAAAAATGGAGCTTCGAATCCACACTCCAGCATGGTAACCATTAAGCCACACCGTGCTCACGGAAGAGAATAAAATCATAAGATTCAAATAAGAGGATAACACAACTCTTTGCCATGGGCACATACACGTTCCTCTCTAGTGCACTGCTATGAGAGTTTGTATTACCAAAAAGCAAGAGTATTCCTCATCAAACTTACCGAAATTCACCAGTTTCAAAATCCAGATAAGTAACGAAATGTTAAACCATGTGTCTCTTTGCATATTTTTATTTTATATCTGAAATTAACTATCTTAGTGTAAACTTTACCTATAAACTTGGTAATGATAGCGTTAATAACAATAAAATTTGTTGGTAAGTACCAGAAAATATGAAATGGTGATCTTAATGGAAATATAAGAGGAGCAAAATTGAAATAGTACTACAGAAAAGAAACTTGACATCAATAAAGACGTGCATATTAAACAGTTAGAAGGAGAGAGAGAAAAAAAAGAGCGAAACAATATCATTGGAATTATAAATAAGATTATGATAGAATAATTAAGACTGAGGAGCAAATGGGAACCTTAGAAAATACAAAAAGTGAGGATAATTTTTACAGTGTATAATAATTATGGAGTAGAGGAATAAAATTGTGGGAAATGAAATATATAATATTGGTGAGAGGTATTAATCTAAATATAGAAGTAAAACTGATATATACCTCTGTCCGGTTTCGTTTTATTTAAGCGGTAAGCTATCTGTGTTGTGCCCACCACTGGTATAAAAACCCAGTTTTAGCGTTATAATCCTTCAGTTTTTACCGCTGTGCCACTGTGGGACATTTCTGTCCTGATTAGTGCATTCCGTCTAGAGGGCGAGAATGCACCATACAATTAAAAATATGTATATAATGAACTTGTAGGCCTTATTTCACACAGTTAAAGAAAAAAAAATCGGTGTTGGAATTTATACAATAAACAATTTTATACATAAAACTAAAACTGCAAATTTTGATTTTGTGTTGATTGGAAGAGTTTGTTTGGTTTGAATTTCGCGCAAAGCTACACGAGAGCTATCTGCGCAAGCTGTCCCTAATTTAGCAGTGTAAGATTAGAGGGAAGGTAGCTAGTCATCACCACCCACCGCCAACTCTTGGGCTA